ATGTGTTTTGCGTAAACAGAGATACCAATGAATACGGAATAAGCATTTTCGCACATGCAAATCACTGGTACTGTGCAGATGCAATAAGCTGCATAACTGGATGTGTTGTGGACTCCAGCATGTGGTCTTGAACCGCGCCGGGGCCACTGAACTAACCCTAGCCCGATTAGGCTTCCCTGAATGTGAAGACCGGAGCGCACGTGGACACAGCCGTTCCTTCCAGATCTCAACCAGTTTGGAGTCGTTGTGTCGTATGTGGCATTTGAGCGTGTATATTCATGCCTCGAATGTGTGAGTTATGGATGGGTTAACATCGGGACCTAGGTGTGATGATAATCTAGGATAGATATTCGTTGGAGCGATGGCTAATTGAGGTGTGTTTGTGTGCTTGTCAAAAGTCGGTATACTTAGTTTTTGTAAGTAGACAGTCATGCACACTATAAGTGTAAAATGTCCAATCACAACAAATGAAGTCTTGCTGAATGGTTTGTAACTTTGTATTAATAGATTTAGGTGAATTTGTCAAAGACCACATTATATTTGAACACACGTCGATAAGAAAGGAACTCAGCCAATCGTCACTCAATTAGTGTTCTAGTGACTCATTGGACGATCACTAGCCAATCAGAAAGAAGGAGGTTTAAAATGTGCCTTCACACTGGAAGGCGATCGCAGGTTTGAGAACTCCTGATGCTGGTCTGGAACCAATAGGAAGCTCGTTTCAAGGTCTGTGGGTTCAGACGGGTATTGGCTATTCGTCCGAGACCCGTACCTTTTTCAACTTTGGCCCACTAAACCCACCTCCAGCATCAGGAAAGTTTTATCGTGGTGTTTAATAAACTAGTCTGCAGTTGATTAAATAATTCACGGACACTATCACTCTGTTTGCGTGTCATCAAATTCCCCTGGGCGAGGACACAGCGAGACATTCACTCTCCAAGTGACTTCAATTCTTGTTAATAATGAATAATTTCCTTCACACGCTCGTTACAACACAGCGTGCAGACCAGAAACGCAGTCTGGCAAAACGCCCCGTAAGTGACGGATTTGCCCTGAGAACACGAAAAGCACAAAATGGTCGCATCCGTTAGCAACCCGTTGAACCCACGAAAATGTGATTTGAATTTATAAATTACCGAGGCAGAGGCAATTGGCTTTGAGTCCTGATGAAGCTGAGCAATAAGGCTTTCGAGCTTCGGGTTTTCTTATGGCAGTTTTGTTCAAATGAAATGCATACTGATTTGGACCAATCACATTGCAGCTAGATGAGCACGCCGATTTAATAAGAATCGATTCATTGAAATCTGATTTTTACGAACACAAATAATTTATTTTACGCGATACAGGTTAGTATGAGGAAACATACCAAGTGCATCATTGTGATTTCTAAATGGTTTTTTAAATTATTTAATCTAATCAATAATTAGTAGGATTGCTAAGAAACCATTGTTTTCGAAGTGAACACCCTTGGGATTGTACACTCAAATTTAGTGTGTCGGCAACTCACGGCTTGTTTAATTCTACTATTTTTCTTGCAAAAAGGTTAAACTAGGCGATGACCTTGAAAACTGGTTCCTTTAAACACGAATTTACAAATTTATTGTATTTGCATTTAACGCCTCCGGCCTGAGAAGCCGGATGGTATGATGAGGAGTGAGTGAATAAAATTGCTGAGAAAATTCCACATTTCGGTTGATGTCATTTGGTTTTTGTACACAACGGAGATTGCATGGATTAGGCTGGGCAGGGTTTCACTGGGAATGATGCATCAGACGAACGTCGAAGCCACATTCTTGCTCGAATTCTTGGCCGTCACACCCTCCTCGCCATCGTCACCAATCAGCGTCGTCTCGGGGTGGGGCGCGTTGTTTGATTTCGACTCGGGCACGCGATAGAGGGTGGAGCCCTGCGCCGTGGGAAGCAGTTCCAGCGCGATGTATTGATCGCACGGTGACGTGGTACGTTGGGCGTCTAGGGCCTGAGTGAGGGCAAACAGACACGGCTGACCCGAGGTCGCGACGTCTAGACTGTCGCCGTTGCCGGAGTCGCGGTCTGTGAGACTGTTTCGTTTGCCAATCGATCGATCCTCGATCTGGATTGGACAAACATTTCAAATTAGGCAATTGGGAAAAAACATGTATGCGGCCCAAACTCACTTCTTTTATGTGATTAGAATCACAGAACAAATTCTTTTGAATGCACATTATCAATTTTCAGCTTTACGAAAAGGGGGAAATTTTACAGCCACAAATCTTTTTCTAGGTTGGAATCATCAAAGCGATTGTTTCTGGCAAAATAATTGCAAAATTAGGCTGCGATTTGTGCATGGAAAACGGACGTCTTTGTTGCTGGGAAGCGTCATTTTCACTTGAAAAACGCACGAAATCTGGAAATTTCACGAATCGCCTTAATTGGGATCTGCATTCTGTCCAGCCTGTCTCAATTTCCCAAAAACGTTCAATTGTTTGAAGTTTAATAAAAATTTAGAAATTTGAATTACACACCTAAACACCCCTTGACGTGGGTTCACAGGACTCGGACTTGACCTTGAAATTTTCGACAAAAGAAGTTTGTTTAAACAAAAAGTTCTTCTCCATAGTTAGCTAGATTTAACGATTAACTTGAAAGAACTCAAAGCCGCTTTTTAGCGTAAGAAACGGTTTTTTTAGTCTAAATGAGACTTGATGTTGTAATCAGCCCTCTAAAGTGACAGGAATGCACCCTCAGACAACTCCACTGCTCTAGGAGGCTTCAGTTCTCACTACTGACGATGATCATGCTGACTAAACCAATGAGAGACAGAATAAGTTAGCAGTTAACCCGCGTTGTCATTGATTGGTTAGTTTTTTGACGTCCAAAGTTGGTATCAGCCATAAAAAAGGCATCCAGATTTCATTCCTCTCAACGGACACAACTGTGCGTTAATTTAAACAACAGTTGGTCCCCATTCTAAGAAAGATTTCAGCATTTACCACAGTAGAGTCGATCTTTTGCTCTCCAAGTTTTCATCCAGCCAACTTTTTACCCCCCGAGAATCGCGTTTAGATAAACGTCGACTGCATCAGCGTGCAGTCTCTTAAAATCAAAGCAAGCGAACGCAAAAAGCCCCCATACAGAAGGAAAAAGCGATCGCCATCTCCAGTATTTCGGGTTGGAGGGGAAATTTTCGTTTTATCTCTATGTGCGCACACCATTGGTTAAATCGGGGTGCGCGATAATTGATTATCTGGAGGCAATGGGATTTGGCGCGATTTGCCTCTTAGTCGACGTTCATCCCACTGAAATGTTATGGCGCCAGTGCTGAGTGCAATGACAGGTTAACGGGTTGACGACAGATAAAATTGCAATGTTGAAATTAACCCGACTTGTCATCGTGTTTGCTCAAAATGCGTAAATCCAGTAATTTCGTAGGATATTTTTTGTATGAATAAGTGAATTATCGTCTGGGGCAAATGTGATTATGCGAAAAAAAGCTGGTGGAAATTGCCTAAGGAGACAACGAATGTAAAAATCTCCATAATTCTGCAGTAATTCACTGTGCCAATTTCATCTCACATGAGAAAACGTAGCCGAGGCTGGATTATTATAAGCCTAAATTTTCTAATGCGATTCATCATCTTGTCGGCTGTGACTCACACAACTCCAACATGCTACTAGCGTGAGGACAACGCTATGCGTTTAATTGCGTCCATGCGTTAGTCAAAAATGAGTTTGGCGCCATTAGCGGTGGTGGAACTTGTGTTGAGGGCACAGCGCATCACAGTGGGCCAACTCAAACACCACTCCCACCTACCGCTGCCTCATTTGACGTCAAGGTCTCTGTTATAGGGCTAACTCCACAGAAAATACAAACGGCAGCAAAATTCCAGCCAATTGGGCGTGGCCAATTTATAACCAATCAATAAACGAAGTGGCGGAATTTAAAAATCGGGTCGCTGATTGGTGCATTTAGCTGTTTCAAGCCTCCAGGATTTTTTAATTTAAAAAGCTGCCGAAAACTTGGTTTTAATCTGGGCGGAGGTGGGTACGTTTACTTGATTAATTTTTACAAACGAATTGAAGCTTACCAGCTTCCTCTGGCTCAAGAAATTGCATCTGCTGATGGTCTGTACTTGTTTTCCGGGGAGACACGAGAGTCTAATAATTCCATCTGGATCTGGCGCAGCAAGCGTGGACATGTTGGAAATCTCGTAGTGCGGCATAGGCTGGTAAGACGTGGAGGCCTCAGCGATGTACGAATTAGCGCCTTGAGTGTAGAATGGGGACTGGAAGCTCGTGTTATCGTCGAATGGAAAGCCGCCATTGCTTGGGTGTGAGGCAAGATACGAAAAGTTTGCCTCGGAGAGATCTGTAATCGATAAATCGATAGAAGGCACTTTGAAACAGAATTAAAAGTTGGCTTTAGAAACGGCATTTATTACACTGAAATTGGGGGGGGGGTGAACTAAGAGCTTCCAATTAAAAATTTTAGTTTAGATGTGGAAAAATAATACCGTTGCCGAAACCGTGAGCAGCTTCACAGATATTTACTTCTTATTAATTAATTGGGCAGACCAATTACTAAATCGACCCTAATGGAGTCTTGAAGGTGCATGCCTAGAATTTTTTTTTGTTTTTTAATCAAATTGTCTGCGCATGTCGTTTGAAAATTGCCTGGTGTTTTTTTCCTCAGCCGAAAGTGTTCCCTTGAGAACGACGCACACGTGTGTGCACTTGGGTTAGCGTGATTCAAGGTCGCGGTGGCGATTGGCTCAGTGGACATTTTGGGTGGATTAATGAAAGACCTGGGTTTTTTTAATTTCAAACACGATTGTTTACCCGCCAAGCGTGATCGGAGAAAGCGGAATGCGAGATCAGTGAGGCAGAAGAGGAAACAATGTGCTTTTCGCTTGACTTACACACAAAAAATTCCCACTGAGACGAGGAAAGCAATCACGGTTTATCACAATTCAGGCAGTAACGCATTTATTGCCTCAAACTAACTCTCCACTCGGTCATTCTGGCGTCTTTTCAAAATTTAGGTTGATGACGTCACGAAAGCTTAATTTTGCCATCAATGCGGCTCCACGGGAACTATCGACTCTCACGACATTTTTGCTAATCTGGCAGAAAATATTTTGGTGGTTACGCATGGAGACGCTGACGCGGAAACTTGACGCATTTACACAAGGTACCAAAATGAGGTAGCAACTGGAAATAAGTGACGGGGACAAAATGTACGAGGTTCTACAACTTACCTGGCTGCGTTGGGCGAAGAAACACCACACAAGCAGTCGAGTTGTAGGTCGTAAACATAAAACCTAATTAAAGACCAGCTCAGGGAGGTGATCGTTTGCCAAATGGCCATGGGGAAATCTCGTCACCTGAATTTGTTCATCGTTTAATGCACTAAAGCAGGCGGTGAACATTTGCAATTCACAATTTTAAATCTCCCACGTAATTCGAATCGACCGCGCTCCCACCCCATTGGCTCGACTCAAATTAGGTGCCAAGGTCATCTAGGGGACTGTCAGCACAAACCAAATTCACTGATGTTAAGGAACCACCTCAATACCTTTGGGCCAATCAAATTTTAGATAATGAACATCAGTGAATGGTTGGTTCAAGGTCAACTCACCTTCGTCCATGAGTTCACCTGTGAGGTACTTGGTTTGGGCCAGTGACAACGGCACCGATTTGATGAAGCCGTTTGGCACTCCATCATGCAATATCGATCCGTTAGGGAGTTGCCCGGGCGCGCCCATAACCGGGTGATATCGGTTTTCCCCATCGACATGTTCTCTTCTAGCTCGCTTTACCACGAAGCAAATGGCGAATAACAGGACGGTGGATATGACAAACGAGCCGATGATTATGGCGATGATGATAAAGAGGTTCAAATTGCGGCTGGAGACGTTTCTACTGCCAGCGCGGATCGGGAAACCGAAGATGTCGCGTTCTACTCGACCAAGGGGTTCCGAGTCGTCCATTTGTACCAACAGTTTGGTCTCCTTGGTTAATCTCGTAGATCCACTGTCCGACGCTTCGATAAAAAGGAGGTATTGTCCAATGTGACCTGAGTTGTACTCCTTAGCTACTATGAGTTCCCCACTTTGTGGATCGAGTTGGAAAAGGTCAAATGGATCGCCTGCACTGATCCGGTAGACCACCGTCCCGTTCTCACACGCGTCTGGATCAGATGCCAAAACCTAACAAAACAAGCGGCAATTCTCATTGGTGAAGTTAAAAAATCAAATACACCGCGACACAATCGCAATCAAACATGGCGGAACAAACTAATAATTAATCGATGAAGCTAATTACTGACACAGTCAACTAAGTTATCGAACGTCAAAAGAGGTATTGCATCTTTCCAAACGTTTTCGACGCAGACTATTGCTTTGAAGAGCAGTTTTTTCAAAAGACAACAAGATTCATTTTAATGCCAGGCAAATGTAACGATACTGAGCCATGACCGGCAGAACAAACAGTTAAGATGGACGGAAAAGTAGTCCCATGAGGCAGCTCATGTCGCCTAAGCGGGGCAATTTCGTGTGATGGGTCTCCCGTGGGTGATGATAATGATGATGTCGGTTTTTACTGTCACCAATTCTTCTTCCCTTCCACCTGACTCATGCTGGTGGTAATTCTGACAAATGGCTTTCTCTTCTTATTCTTTTGCTAGATACCCCGCGGGTAGTGTAACGACTCCGGCGGGTCGGTGTTATTGTGCGCAGTAATCGGTTACCGTGGGTGGTCGTCTTCACTACTGGCAACGTGGGTTAACAGCGAGACCTTTGAGTCGTTAAAAGGTATGTTTGTTGCCTCTGCCGCCCACCTTTTAACACTTGACACCGGAGCTATTGAAATCGCCAGAAATAATGATACGTACATATCCAAGTTCACTTGTAGCTGATGTCTAATGAGGCTCTGTGGGAAGGAGGAAGCAAATAACTTTCCCTTTTTCTCGGTATGCTTCAGTGGATCAGGCAGAATCACGGGTTTGTTACCCTACGCTCACACTTGAGTGGATTTTTGGAGACTGTTCAATTTATTTGGATTCTTTGTGCCATCTGTCCAGTAAGAATCGGTGACTACAAGCTAACAAATCTTTGTTCCAAGTGCTAAGATCTGTTGGTCGGTAGGTCCACTAGTTTTGCACAATTTAGGTGCAAATAAAGAAGTAAAGATTTAGTTTAACTAGTTGGAGGTTTCCTAGGTGGAGACCTGTCAACGAACAACCCTTTCTATCTTTGTTCAGGTACTTTTGGAAAGAACCGATTTCCATATGATGTGATTAGAGGTCACTTTTGAGAGTACATAAAAGTCAGCAGTCTTGGATGGATTCTACACCTTCCATTTCTGCAGCCGATCCACGAATTGGAGCAGAAGCAATACCGATAAGATAAACAGACATATTACAACAATGCGACAGGTAACACGTTGAGGAGTGTTTACACAGGTGGGTGTGGGGTTGGCCCGTCATGGTAACCATTTACGCGACAACAAGTGATTCGTGAAATGAAAGTTTGCGTTGGCAACGCGCGCATTTGGTGAGTCTAGAGCGATAGACTCGCTTTTGTGAGGTACAACTTTCACACACACACACCTACGACGCGTTTGACCGTTTTCGACAAGGTAACAGCGAGTGCGCACACGCAAACTGCGCCACTGCTAGCACCCCCTCCGCGGTATGCGAAATTCCGAGTTTTGTTTTAATGCATTAACTCGATGAACAGCCCTCCCGCCTCTTTTGTCTTCTTTTGTGCAACTTAGCGATGAAATTTTTGAATAAGTGGCCATACTACTTGCCTTTTTTTTGTATGGGCAGGTTTTTTGTAGTCTAAACCACTTTGCGTAGTTTGTTTGTCTAGATGGGGGTTATTTGTAGTCCTGACACTCGCGCAATTACACGTCTTTCGTGCTTCTAGCTGGCCAAGTTGCGTTTCTCGTACACACGATGGCGGCGACGGTGGTGGTGGAGGCGGTTTACTTTGACAACTTTGCGTCTTAAGCCTAATCATCTCAAATTCTTCCATACACAAACACGGACATTAATTGGTGAGGTGAGAGAGGGAGAGAGAGTGGTAAGTACAGGGGACCGGTCTGTTCCCCCACCCAACACCCATTTGCGGTGATAATCAGACCCCTGGTTAATTAAAGCAACCGAAAAGACCCACGAATTTGCAATTTATGATTTTGCCGTTTTGTGTGTCGCCTATAACTGTCATTGTTCCTTCTCCTAGATGATCACTCCATTCGTTGTTTTACTATTCTAGCATGTCCACTAGGCGGACAATTTGGAAATTGACCTTGGGCCCAGCCTTTTGTGTTTTTGTGGGTAGTTGGGAAACCAGACGTTGATACGACAGAAGATTACTGGAGGAAACGAAGGTAGCTTTGCAGGCAGTAAATCTCATGGGGCAGCGAGTAGGGACTTAATAATTGATTAGTTTACCCCTAATTGATATTCCGGAGAGAGCGAGAGAGAGACAGAGAGGTCGGGGGAGAGGCAAATGAGTCTGGCATTATTGACAGGCCGAGAATAAGCGCGGGCTGAGAAATACATATTTTGCCTGACTGTCTGCTTGCCTGCCTAATTACTAATCCCACTGTTTGGGGAAATATCTGGGTATAATTGTTCTCTAGCAGCTACCGAAAGAATCTGGATTAAAAGTGACAACTCACTCAAGCCTTCTGGACATCACCTAAAGGTTTTTATCTGCAAAAAAATCATCTGTCCATCATAAGCACAACAGCCATATAAGAGTTCGACTCGCCTTAACAATTAGGGCTACAGTGCAGCGGTTCACGGGCTGCTATTGGCTGGTGGTTAAACTCTTTCAATGACGGCATCACTTTCTCTATACACTCCAGTGATAGGTATTAAGTTTGGACAATAGATTTCCGTCGACTAGCCTCTTTTAGCAGTCAGGTGATGGAAATCTGTACAATGAGTCAGAAGTCGTCACTTTTCAAGAACTGCAGCCGGTTAAAAGCACCTGACATCGAGACGTTTGACAACCAAAGTTGGTTACGTTGACGATTGTTCGAAAAGATAAACCCTTCTATCATCGCTCATCTGAATTTTGAGTATGGTGACGTGAATTAACCGCCGCCGCCACCACCACCACCACCACCTCAAGCGCTGACCAATCAATAAGTGGCTTTGAATATTGAGTAAGCGAACAACGATGTTTAGATTAACAATAATGGTACATTTGGTGTTGCAGCAGGCGATACTGAAGCCATTAACAAGTCAGACGCCCTACAAACAGGCCCGCAGGTGACTAAGTGAGAGTAAATATTTCAGTTTTGTCCCCCCAAAGGCCGGCAAAGGAGAGTTTTATGTGGATTTTATGGGCATCCCTTGAAGGGAGTAAGCGGACCTAAGGGGGAATGGAGGGGTAATTAAACAGCGGCGCGTGTGTGATGCGAGAGATGCAGAAATGGGGGTCGATGTCTAGACCCAGACGCCGGCAACTGCGGTGCTGCTTTTGACATCAACTTTTGACCTCTCAAACACGCACCCACGCACACACCTAACACTATCGATCGATTCAGCAAATTCTTCACTAGATGGAAAGATACCATACTTGATTACCCCCGGGCTGTGCCGTGTCTACGACGAGCAATTGTGTTAAGAAATCAACTCCAATCAACAGGTTGTGGAATAATGCAACACTTGTAGGCAGGAATCGGCCCGTAGAGCTTTGAGGAACGCGGGAGTTTTAGTCAAAAAACTTCTTATTTGAATGGACAAACACATTGCTATTCGACCATGATGTTGTACAGCTTTTGTGATCGTCATCTCTGGATCTTTCCGGCCAAAAACCACGAACCTAAATAGTCATCGACAGTTAGAGTTTTCCCAACCCTGGAATGGATGCTAATCAGATAGCGTGGCGTCAAGACTATCACCTCCCAATCATGTTTCGGTAGTCTTCTGAGATATGCCAGACAGGCATGAATCCTTCCCATCTGAGAGCTTTAATTCACCGTTTCTCAAATTATCTCCAAAAGTTGTTGGTGACAAACGAGGCGGTAATTTCGGCTGCTTCATAGACATGGTATTTAAACAAAAGGCGGATTTGGCAAGACGCCGAAGTGAGCTGTTAAAGTCCCCCCGATAATGGACACCATCTGCGACCGTTTTAGGACAAATACTGCCTCCAATGAACACACACGTACACACTCACATCGTGCAGACGAGCTACTTGAGTGTGTGTGTGCGTGTGTATTCTTTGATGTAGCGCATTCGCTTGAGTCTGGGAAAGTCCTCACCGCTTACTTAAGGTCCAAGCGCAAGTTCGCTGTCCCTACAGAAACCTTTTACAAGCAAAAAAGGCTTCAGCATGTCCTTTTGCTCATTGGCTGTTCACTACATCCATTCTGGAGATGAGATAGCAACCTTCGATAGAGAAGGCAAGTTCTCTCTTGCTTCCAAATGACTGCGGTAGTTTAAAAGTGCAAGAAATTATTTTCATCACACTTGATGCTCTTTAAGCAGTCAAAGCTTAATACAATCGGGAAATGCAGCTTTTCGAATTTGTTTTACTGAGGTGTTCGACCTTGACGGGGATTTTGACCTGACATGAGCCTGCCCGCTTTGATTTAAGTTGTATTAGAACAAGCTGAGTCATTAAAAAAATTATTGTTGAGAGGTTCGTGTAGAAACTGAGCCGATGCCTGAAGGTGGAGAAGCATAAATAAAGCCTTTTTTCTCAACAAAATTTGACAATCCCGTTATGAATGATCAAAAATATTTATGGCCTCCTGGGTCCCACACAAGCAGATGCAAAATTAATTGGACAACAACAACGATTCCGGTGGGTAGATGTTTGAAAAATGAACCGTTACGCGCAGCAAACATAAAATACGATTTACCAATCAGGTAAGGAGTGTTGTAAAAAGTAACAAATAACATTTAACTCGATTTCAGGAGTTGACTCATTACGTTAGGAAAACACTTCAGAAATAGGGCGTGGAATCAGGTGTGTCTACAATCGGGAAACGAACACCATAGTATGGGGATTTGTGAATCGCGCGAAAACCTGTTACAGCTATAAACACTTATTAATTCAAACAATGTGTTTAATGTGAGTTTTGTTAAGCCAAATTAATCGATTTTTTCTCAGTAAGACGCTTTGAGAAATTGAGTTTACGGTACAACCGATTCTGATGTCAAATTGCGCCCAACCACCAACAGCTAAACAACTTTTTACCAAAATCATGGGCACATTTCAAAATTGACGTCGTCAAACACGGCAGATAGTCTTATTCTACGCGTTGTGTGAATTTTGTTCCACATGGAACTGATTTTATGACGACACCAGGAAATGCGAGCATCAAACTACGGCACGAGGACACATTGGTAAATGCGATGTGAGGGCGGATATTGCGTGGATCGGAAGTTACGTGTTAAATTCAGTCAGTCCTTTTATTTGCCCAACTCTTCCACAAATCCCGCAGATGCCGCCAGTCCGGAGTTATGACCTTTTCCCAGGAATTTCTTGGCGCAAAGTTTAAATGCATGACCTGGGTTGGTACTTTAAATTGTTTTAAATTTGCTACGGTTCAGATTGCGCCATATTTAAATCGAAAAATTGTAAATCTCCATGTGATTGGAGTATCGATTTCAAAATCATGAGCGCTACCAATTGTTGTCAAAACCTTCCCTTTCAGGGCTCGCGTCTCTCCTTGTCAAGAATCGATTTTGTGGAAAGTTCCTATAACTTTTTCTCATTAAAATCAATAGAATTTATCAGTTTATGGGGTTAGCTAAGTAAAGCTCAAGTCGAAAATTTTGAAGGCTTAAGCGGTGTGTTTGAAAATAAATACAAACTGACCTTGGTGAACTGGAATCCGACAGGTTCCTTGATGGACAGTCGCACCTCAGTGACGTTTATCGATTCAGATGGAGGGAATAAAAAGTGCGGGGGATTGTCATTGACGTCGGTGACTCGAAGGCCGAGTGGAACACGGTTAACGAGTCGTGGACTTCCAGAGTCCTGGGCACGCAGCTTGAATTTGAGGTCAACTGCACCGGAGCTGTTGACCACGGTGACATCGTCGGCGTTGGCTCCAGGCAACTCGATCAATGCCTCGCGATTAATCTGTGCAGCAGTGAAGATACGGACCTCGTAGGCGCTACCACCATCTCCTGAGGTCGAATTCCGCACATGGAATCTGCTGGGGAATGGTTTCCTTACTTGTGACACTTCAAATCGCAGGAGTCCTAGATATTTGTTGGACGATTTCGTCGTGTGGTGACGTACGCTAGCAAAAAGACTCCCCATATCGTCGTGTTTCGACCAGGTAGGCTGCAAACTACTCTCAAGACTGAACTCCAGTCTTGAATTGGCGCCGATGTCTGCGTCGAAGACGCGGACCACACCAACAAGCGTGTCTACGTGGGTGTTCTCTGAAATCTGGAAAATGTACTCGTGGTACTCGAACTGGGGTGGGTTGTCGTTTACATCAAGTACCTCCACTTTAACTTCCGCAACGCTGGACAACGACGGCGTCCCCATGTCGTTGACAATTACCTTACAGCTAAGTGAGGCAAATTTCTCACGATCTAGATATCCTGTCGAGTGTAAGATCCCGCTATCCTTGTCTAGCTGAACCAACTTCTGGAAGGCTTGGGGACATTCTGGGGAAAATCGATACTGCAGTCGGGCGTTCTCTTCAGCGTCGTTGTCACGCGCTTTGACTTCGCCAATCATTCTAGGCATAGATTCGCCTTTGTTTAGGCCAGAAATGGCAAGATCAGCGTCCTCGAATACACGGAAATGGTAGGTTTCGTTGTCAAAGATCGGCGAGCAGTCGTTGACGTCGAGAATGTGAAGCGTCTCCTTCTGGACGGACCGCAACACTGGTTTACCACCGTCCCAGCATTCTACAGTGAAGTGCACTTCTGGGTGTGCTTCTCGATCGAAGGAGCGCGTCGCAAGGAGCTTGTATTTTCGATTTGTTGGAACTCTCGTGGTTTCCTCGAATCCCGGTGACACGTCCGTAGTCATCGAACGCAAAGCGAGAGCACCACGAATGGACTGCGACTTCAAGTGGCACTCAACTGCGGCATTCATCCCAGTGTCCTTGTCCTCGACAGTTAGAATCGCCACATCCTGACCACCCGGCAGGTTCTCGTTGAGGGTAAGTTTTCTGGCTCCAGTCGGAGAAAATATGGTTATCAGGGGTTCGTGGTCGTTGACGTCTTCCACAGTGACGTAGACTTTTGTGAGGTAGGTCGGCTGGATGTCAGTGAATCCTGCCGACGGCAATGACAGCGCACGGTCCAGATTACTTGCCTTCACAGTCAGCTGGTATTGGGTAGCAACTTGGTAATTGAGCTTGCCTTTTAGAAAGATATCTCCACTGTGCTCGTCCACATGGAATAATTCCAGTGTCTGTGGATCTGTAAGATAGGGGTCTAGAGAATATATAACATTTCCAAACTCTCCAGCATCGGCATCGTCTGCATGTACGGTAATAATTTTCTCGTTAAATTTCATGTCTTCCGGGACAGTAACGTTGTACGCAGTCTTTTCAAATACGGGCAAATTGTCATCAGCATCGCCAACTTCAACGTTGACTGAGAGTTTGCATTCGTGAATACCGTCGCCTGCTACCACGGAGAGATGATAATGTTTGGTGTTCTCAAAATCTAGGGGCCGAAGCAAACCGAGAAACAGCTGCCCATCCTGCTGACGGTATTCCAATGGATAGGAACTTCGTAGGTTTCCAGTTGCCGCGTGGACGGTGTGTAACCGAAACATGGAGGAGGGACCTTCCAGCCGAATTTGGTTCCACTGAATCGCGTGATCCAGCCTTGCACTATCGGGATCAATGGGTGAGTTCAGACGAATCCTCGTCTTGTCCACCTCGGCATCCTCACGAATGTGGACGGTTTGTTCAGGCGAGGGTACAAAGCTGCAGCCGTTGTCATTGATATCACGCAGCGTGATCACAACATCAGCGATGGCTTCAACACTTCCACCAATAATTCGAAGACAGCTCACACTAAATCGGAGGATACAGTCATCGTCGGGCTTGTGACTAGGTGACGGACAGAGGCTTTCCCGATCCAATTCCGAGGCAACGGTTATTCGTCCGGAGAACTTTTCAACGTTGAAGTACTTGGAGGCGTCCTTGGGGTTGGGCACCTTGTTGTACACGAGGCTACCGCTTGCCAAATGCCCGAGTGACGCAAGCGAACCCACGTGGCTTTCAGGGGGAACGCCTTCGTTAATTTCAAACCTCGCGATAAATCCCCTTGAGACTGGAATCAACACAAGCAAAGACAGGAGCAGAAAGGTGTGCTGTGCAGGTTTCATTTGTACCAACAACAGGAGGTCATAATGGGGGTGTGTGCATTACCACAATTTCCGTTTTCACTGCTTGCATCTGTTTTGAATGCTGTCCACGGTCACACAGATTGCGTTCGTGTGTGTGTCAACACAGACGCACACGCAGCCAATTAGCGCGCGCAATTAACCTATCATGCTATTGGCTAAGACTCGGGGGCCACGTGCGCACGTGTGGGCTGAGCTATGTAGTGCTAATGCTACACTAACCAACGGAGGGGGTGGGGTTGTTTTGAAACCCCCGGCCGTCTAGAGTGTCGAATCCGCCTAATTAGGTTGTCACGGGGGCCATTTCCACGATGAGTCCTAATTAGTCTGACCAATGAATTAGCTGGGAAAGATCACAGACACGCACGCGCGCACCTTTGCGTGCGTGGCGTTCGTGAAAGTTGCAGTGCATCTTTATGAGTGACAGAGTGTACGGAAAATGCTCTCCGATTTGCATTTTGTTTGTCCTAGATGAAAATCCACTTTTGCAGCGACAAAGGTGACTGACAAGTTGTTGCGGTGTGCTTGCGATTCACTCCGAAATGATGAGTGAAGCGATGTCGGTTTTTTCAGCAAATTTCCCCACCAGACACAGCTAATCTCCAGCATCTGAATGTGTCGCGTTTGAGCGAGGAAAGAGCCTCAAATGGTCTGCTTGTCTAAAATTTCTCACGTCATGCGCTGACGGGAACAAAAATTGTGCTTCTGATAAATTTGAACGAGAAATCTACACCCCCCTCTGAAATTTAAATTGACACTGTGATGAGCCAGTGAAATCATTGAAAAGCCATGATAAATGTGGCTCTTTTTTTCAAAAGAACGACAGTTAATTTAACTAACAGAGTTGATTATTTTTATCGCGGAAGGAAAAAAAAAGTGGAAGGAATCAGATCCAGTATCCAGATCGTGTAGTAGCAGCCTCAACTATGCGCCTTTGAGAAGGTCAACCTCCTTCCACAACTAATGGATGACTCTGACCTCCACCATCTCGTCTACTACAACCCCCTAGTCGAGGCATTTATGCGTCAAGCCCAAACGGAGGAAGAGTTTGTTTGCTAGCACCACCAGTGCACCATTTCCTAACCTGTTTTCAGATACCCCATTGCACATGACTTGGCTAGTGTAGCTTTTTCCACAGTCGAAGCTCCTGCTGTCAGCATCAATTACTGGGAAAGCATCTCATGCGTGCAGCCCAACACATGGTGGCCACAGGTCTGCATGTCACAACAAAATCCTCGTGTTTTGAATAACGCTTATATTCACTCTACACGTAGTAAACTATTCCGTCAGCCTTTTGGCGCATCGTTCAAACCACTGTCTCGAGAATTCTCCAACTTTTGAATGCACGAGATCGTTTCGATGGACGTAGAGTGTGGAATGTGGATCTTGGAGTCATCTCTTGAACCAGCTTTAAGTGTTTTCATTGGTTAAATATGGCCTGAAGGTTGATTACTCACGAATTGTGCCAAACTTCTTTGAAAAAGTCATCAATGCTATTGCACATAAGGTGTAGTTGCCATGGCTGGTGAAAACTGTGACCTTGAATATAACCAGTCAGATTTGAGTCGGCGACAAGACAACAAACTTGCTCACCCAATAGGCGTCTCTGTGATCCATACGAGGCTCCTAATCATCAATATTTGCATAATAATTGATTTCAATCAGAAGATTAAAACTGAGATTTTCTAAAAGCGAAATTTCGAAAGTTAAATATATGATTTTTCAGGTCTTGATGTCTATCCAATGAGATAATGTGATTTAATTAACTAAGGACTAAAGCCAAGCGCTTTTTTGAAACAAACAACGCCAAATTTTTGGCTTCAACTGAATTAAATGAGGATTTTGGGTGGAAAGTCTACTTAAAGTGCATTGTATCAGATGACAGCATTTATTTGACGGCCAACAGGATTGCCACTCCTCCCACTGAAGACTTGCCATGCGGTCTCCAGTGAAAATTTTTGTAATTTAAGAAAATGTACACCTCTACAAATCGAAAAAGTCCAATTTTGCTCTTAATTTATAGCAGTTTGTTGAGAATTGACCAAGTAAGTGACCAATTTCCGGAGTGATTATTATCATTAATATTATTCTAAACGAAGGTGTGAAAAATATTCGTGATTTTTACTTGTAAAATACGGTGGAGGAATCAGCGTGTGACGAACTATTCTTCTAAAATTAGACCTTTTTGCGTTTAAATCCTTTCAATGGCAATTTATATACTCCAGCTGGCACGACAGTGAACTCACTGCAATATCGATTATTTTTATTGATCGATGCGCAGACTTCATGCGTTCCTCTTAATTACGCAATGGATCCAACCGCGATAGTGATAAAATTACGCGGTTGAAAATTTCGCCCAATTCACAAATATGGCTCTTTTTAAAGCGATAAAACACGCGAACCGTCAAGGCCCTAAAACCAAGCACGAAGAAACTAACTCATGTTTTCCATCTTCTAACTTCCCTCCTCAAATTTGCTTGTTTATTTTTCCTTCGAACCCGCACCAGTAGGCATAAGAAGAGGCCCGAAAGTACGACAGTGCTCGCGTTGTCCGATTTATTGCATTTCCCCAAGAGTGGCAGTATTGTCAAAAGCCACAAAGTTTGACATTTTTTAAGTGTTGTGTCTGTTCTTTTTTTAGCCGGTAAATAACGCCGAAAAGTGTGCTTTTTGCTCGTTTTGGTGAAACACCGACAGGTTGCTTCCTGAAACAGCATTTCAGTTGTCAAGTCAAGTCACTTTGTCCAAAAAACGCCTTTCCATGTTGCTCCAAAGGTCATGTGACTCTGAAGAGCAGGTGTTCTCAAGGGGTGGTAGAAGGTCAAGCTCAGGGTAGAGAATCATCCCAGATGCTGAAGGTCGTTGCCTGTAGCAACGGTGTTTGACCTTGTTGCTTACTGTGCTGCATCAATATTTGATAATGACCTTGACCTTCGTGCGATCGAATGAAAATGATTTTCAAAACAAATGATTTTTGTAACCTCAAAATTGGCAATCAAGTTACAGTTAATTCGGAAGACTAAACATAGTTGCATATAAGACAAAATTAATTATGTGGTTTGGTTATTACGGAAATCATTAAAGTGATTATTTCAATCATCTGATTGTTTGGCCAATAACACATGTGGGGCTTAGTTGACAAAATTAGTTTAGTGTGAAAATTCCAGTTCATTTGTTGATCGCGATACTCATTTATGCTGAAAACTGCAAATGATGGTGGAGACCTTAAACGTTAAAAAAAGGCACACCTATATATCCTACTAAAATATTTTTTTAAATGAGAGTGAGCTTGTATCCTTGTTTAAATGAATTCGACTTCGGCAAAACTAACTGGCGCAAATTACAACCATTAGAGTGTCCAGTAACGTTTCACGGGGCACACATTCGACAGCGTGCTCCCATTTTAACAGTTTTAACGTAATTTTTTGCAAAAAACAGTCATTTTTAACCAATCTGATTTGATAAAATTCCATGGTTTGGGTTTGCGACGGCCAGAAACAATGCTCGGTTCATTGTGAGACAAATTTTGAGGTGATTAAACGATCTACCCTGGCGATAAGCCACAATAAACTGCTGCCGGTCGTTTTCACTTGTAGCAGTCATAACCCCACTGGACTGCGTTGCCCAGTAAGCTATAAAAACTGAACTCCAGGTTTAATGTTTACCGAAGATTTTTATATTGCCACCGAGAGAAGCCTCCAAATGAATCATCCGTTTGTGTGTTCCTGTGAATTCGGTTTCCTTAAAATACACAGCCCCTGGGTTTTTCCCCCTCTCTCCAGCACTGACACAGAGAAAATACGGCATATTTGAAAAAAAAACACTGGCTTTTCCAATTTTCGCATTTGTGACAGGTTCGAGTCACGTGATGCAGGTGTTGGCTGACAAACGGCATGCGCTGATGTGGCCGACATTTCCACTGCGAACGAAATCGTTGCTCAGGCATGAGAAGACAATGCAATTCAACATACAAATTAAGACGCTTTGTGTTATGGTTTGACGCGAGACCCGATCGTGGAAAAATCGATAGATATCGATTTTTGCTGAGTCAAAGTTGTGCGCCGAGTGGAAGTGGCAGGATAGAGTGCTCGGCAGACCGGATCGGAAAACTGATCTGGTAAATGGTGATTTTGCTTGGTTTTACCGCACTACACACACATACACCATTTTCTTGCGATTCAATAAGCCCACAACTAAACCGACATCTGACACAGTTAACACCTGCTGCAGTTCGGTCAAGTTATTCCCATCGAATGATTGACCCAATAACCGGTCACCAGCCAAAATTAGCCCGCATTCAAATGACTTTGTTAGCGAGAATCTGGGTGGGGGTTGATATGGATAAACAGACCTTTGAGGGTACAGTGGTTTCTACCAAAATCGATGGATGAACTTTAAAAACGACAACGATAATTAGCATGCCTCAGCAGCATAAACAAGGGATTTGACCCTCTCCCCCACCCCAAAGGCGCGCAAAAGGGGCCTTTTTGACAAGTAAACATTCACACCAGACTTCCACCATCGGAAGAAAAAGAAAGCCATCTGGCAGAGGACAATGGGTTTCATGCATAATTCAGCATTGTCGTGTCACACAAATTCACTGACACCAGCGCATCTGGAGATCATTTTGACTGCTGGATTTGTTCTAACTGGCTAAGCTTTCTCCAAAAGTGGTCTGTTTACTGATTTCAAACTGGGCGCTCACAGTGATTTGCCTGTGATTGGGCTAAAACCAGCCGTAATTTTGATTCCCTAGGTCAACCTAGTTTGCCAAGAACGTCGAGAGAATGCACTGCATTGTGCGCATACTTGGTTGTCGAGGTTTAAGGAATTTGTGCTAGTCATTAGGCTGCGTTTGATGGCACCGCCCCCCCCCCCGATGTCATTCCATGTTTACGCAGAAGCGTTCGCTCTTTGAAACTGCCGTAGTTGACGTCGCTATGTGCGCGTCATGTGAAGTTAATTAGAAGCCTTTTCAACAT